CAAGCCCCCCCCTCGGTGTTTGCCATCGGGATTGGGTTTTCGTCGCTTGGCAACGACGTTGTAAAACAAGCCAATTCACTTCGTGAACTCGGCAACCAGGTTACCGTTTTTTTTTTTACCTCGTTTTTTTTTTGGCGGTAACCATAATGGTGGTCGAGTAGATCATGTTGTGCGGGGTCGAGAAACCTCACTCCGCGCAACGGGGGATGATCGCACCGCGTTGTGTTAAAATGGTCAAGCTTCCTCGAGGCAGTTACACAGTGCTTACAACTGTCTCTGGAAGTGAAAGCACCAGAAAATAAATTAAGTCATACGTAGCTGTCATCCGTACGCAACACAGTAAGCACAAGATGCCGAACACCCTTAGCAGGATGCAGCTCACCCTTCATGCGACTCGCCAAATACCTCACGGCGCTTCGCGCTTGGTGATGTGAGAGCCTGGTCCGGTGAGAACCCGGCGTGCTCCGTCCCGGCTTTGTAGGGATGCGAGGTCAATGGTCAAACGACTACGGCATGCACGACTATGAGTACACCCCCCCCCCCCCCCCCCCTCAGCGCCTCTGGAGGCACAGGTGTCAGAAAATATTTTTGCCGGCACCCTTGTGCCGCGCCCTATACAACCATCACCGACTCGGAATGTTCTCTGCCTGGGTTTGTGTTTCCACTCAGAGCACTACCCTGACAACCGCGGTCCCTATTGCGCGGTGCGTCCATCACATCTTAACGAGGAAACGTCTTAGTGTGTGTGTGAGGAATGCGTGTAGGACGGGAGAGGTAAGCTCTCGGTCGGTATTTCTCTTCCCCGGGCCTGCCCAAGCTGACACTCCTCCTGCACAAATGAAATGCTCCGCAACTCACCAGTGCAGTTTTACTGTTTAATCAAAACTAACTGTGGTGGTACGCCGCACCCCTGGTGCGACCAAATGTACTGCACATGGGTTGCATTTCCCTCCCCCACTGAAGAGATGGTTTGTAGTGGAAGTCAGCCAGAGACACAGACCCGGCGGGAGACAGGTTGCGTGTAGTAGACAATTCCTTGCTGTGTGGGTTCTGAATGCTTTAATCGCCTGCAATGCCGATCCATCTTCTAACGTCGCTTTCCCATAGGAATGTATGTCTGCATGCGCTCTAAAACAATTAAATATACACTAAAATAAAGGGTGGGTTGGAGGCAGCATCAAACATAATTGTGTTTTTTGTTGTTATTTTGGGTATTTTGTTTATTTTCCTGATTTTGGGAGGGCATTATATAAATATAAACAACAACAGAGAGAGAACTTCGCACTCCACGGACAACATCACCCCTCCTCACAATGCTGTATGGAAAATACCATCCCTCCTCATAATCCTGCACGGAGAATACCAAAGGTGTGTTTAGTAAAGTAATTCTAAACGCCGTACTCAGGGTATTTTGAGGAAGTATGCTCAAACTCGGTTGGTGAGTCGGCCGAGTAATTTTGAAGCACTTAAAACGCTTGAGTACGGATGAGTATTTTCGAAATAATCACTCAAAGTCTTCAGTCGAAGTTGAGTATTTTTGAAATGCTTACTCAAGGATGACTCAAGGTTGAGTAAATATACTCGAGTAGCTGCGTACGCATGAGTTGTTTTGAAATACTTTCTCAACCTCCTCAGTATCGATGAATACTTTTGAAAAACTTTCCAAGGGTGTGTTAAGTAAAGTATACTCATACTCAAGTATTTTTCAGTAAATATTCAACCTGAGTGTTGCCCTTGAGTAAGTGTTTCAAAAATACTCGCGTGAACTCAACCGTTTGAGTAGGTATTTCAAAAATACTCAATTTTTACTTAAGCCTTTGAATAAGTATTTCGAAAATAATTATTCGTATCAAGCTTTTCGTAAGTTCAAAATTACTCATGCGTACTCAGCTACTCGAGTATATTTCCTCCAACCTTGAGTAAATCCTTGAGTAAGTATTTCAAAAATACTCAACTTTTGCTAAAAGCCTTTGGTAAGTATTTTGAAAATACTCATCCGTACTAAAGCGTTTTAGTATGTAATTCAAAACTACTCAGCGGTACTCACCAACCGAGTTTGAGTATACTTACTCAAAATACTCTGAGTGCGTCGTTTAGTAATAGTTTACTAAACACACCCTTCAAACTTTCTCAACAATCCGAGTGCGGAGGAGTACTGTTGGAATACTTACTTAAAGGCTTTATTTAGTATTAGACCCTTCTTTATGGAAACATAATCTTGCAATTATATCTTGGCATTATGACCCAAGATTTGCTCACAATATATCTCGGCCAAGATTTGCAGTATCGCGATTTATGGGGGAAATATCTTGAATGTTGAAAATGCAGCGTGTTGTTCCTCTCTTCTGCTTGAAGTTGAAAAAGGCACAACGGCCACTTGGTCCACAGAAAATGCCAATGTGTGGCGAAAAGCGAGCATGACACAGTTGTAGAAGGGGCATCCCTCCCCCAGCTGTATTGCCTCAACACTGCGGGTGCATACTAGCGATGGGCACCTACCTGGGGTGCAAAATTGAATCCGTTGCCCACGAGCTCATGTCAAGCGGAGAAACAAAACTGTTCCATTGCTGTCCAACTGACAAGAAAGTGCATCAACCCGAGGCCGATGACACCCATGCACGTATCTCACGATGTAGCAGGCGTACCGAGGTCAAACCTCCGGCGCTGTCATCTGCTCCCACGGATTTGGCTCGGGTGCAAACGGATTGGGTGTGGGGTGATTCGATGAAGAGATAGACGCGTCGCACACGACAGAGCAATGTTGGCAAAACGTTCCTCCTGCTCTATTTTTCTACTTCAAAATAAAGTACTCTTTGAACGGTCCCTTGACAGACTGGTGATGACGCACGTGGAACGAGTCAGGGCAAATACGCATTTTTTTCGCGCGCCTTGAATGTTTTCGTTCGCTGTCGGCGCCCGTGGCGCCGACACAGTGACGCCAGGGTGCGTTAGAGACCCTTGCGAGTGTGCCACGTGCAGATTTCATGGCGTTATGGACGATTAGGTTGACTGACCTTCGGTGATCGCGCCACACTGAGGCAAGATTTGTTACGCCGCCTCAAGATTTGTCGGAAGGCTCGTTTCGACAGATCTTGGGTCAAGATTTGTTCGAAAGGGCAGATTTCGGGCCTCGAGAAATCTTGGCCAAGATATATCGGACGATTTTGCTCCCATAAATCGTGAAACTGGCAGATCTTGGCCAAGATCAAGATTTATCGACAAGATTTTGTTCCCATAAATCGGGGTCTTAGTTGGGTATTTTTGAAATACTTTCTCTAGGATATTCTCAAGGATGAGTACAATACCCAAATATCTGAGTAGACCTAACCCTAACCCTTGCCAACCCCCGCACGGCGGTGGCTGAGGCTCATCTCGGCAAAGATGTTTTCAACACGACCCTCCCAACCACGCCGTAGGCCAGACGTACCTACGACCTCTTTACAAGGTGCGCGCTCAGTCAAGTCTACATATTCTGGCAAACCCCCGCCCCCCACAAACTTACCACCACCTTGGCAAAAGGGGGGCGGGCCTCCACCTGCGAGGATGAGAAACGTGAAGTAATACGTCAGGCCTCATGAAAATGCAGGAATTGGTTTCACGCCGTCGGAACTCGTCGCCCATATGATAGCTTTTATCTTTACCACAGCCGAGCAGAAACTGATGAGCGTTTCGTAAAGTAATTCATAAGCACCCGTGATTCTCCAAGGCCGCCATGTCGAATGATATTTCCGATGCACAAGGCTTCAGACTGTACCTGTCGCGATCCGAACGACTCACGTTAGCCAGCGATATTGCGTCCGTTCTTTGCTGAATTCAATATCTTTGTCAAGGCCGGGGAGAGTAGTAGTGCCGCAAACATCATCGCCGAAAAACGGATAATAACCGCTTTTGATCACCAACGTGTCATCGTTGTGAGCTCTACCGCCCCAAGTCGCTGCCGCCACAAACAGCAACCCGCCTACAAGTACCGCCGAAACAATACCGCCGTGCTGCGTTACTGCCGAAACAACACCATACATCTTGAAATGTTCTGAACGACTACAACGGCAAACATCGGATTGCGATAATGCATACACCACACGCGGACAGAAAATCAGTACTTGCTCCTGGCAGCCAACACTTGCTCAACGTCTTTGACTTCTCAAATGCGGTGCCCTCTGGGACCACGAAAACTAGAACACATTTCTTGACTGACACATCCTCGGATGCAACAGCTGCGTCCCAGAAACTCTGTACTATATAGATCCTTGCTCGATAGGCTCTGCGCCTGTATACTTCATTTGAAAAACGTACAAGGTATCATCACGACTGTCCAAAGCGAACGAATCAATCCCTGGAAAGAGTACGCAAGAAATCCGACAATACTGGTAGAAGGACACCGAAACGCCTATTCACACCCAGAAAGTCATACACATAAAACACAATACACACGTCCGCGCTCGAGATGCCCTCGCAGTCGGAAATACCCTCTGCCCCCCGTATTTTCCTACCAGCGGCCTGTAGCCCTACACGATATCGTTTTCGTGTGCTGCGGCGGGATCTCGGTTAACGTACTTCTGACCTGCCGGAGGCGCCTCTGGTTATATTGAATTTGACTCATGTACTATTAGAGTAGCAGTGATTCTGTCGCAGTGAGAAAGGGCCCCCCAACGCGACAGAGGAGATGAACATACCGCTACCCCAACTTTGTACCCCCTAGAGATCGCCCCAAACCAGCATCTTCACCAAGTACCACAAACACAACAGATGCGCCTCTTGACAAACGGCCATAGAATCTCCGTAACGAAACCAGACTTGTACAAAAAGAATGACCCCGACGTTGGAGGGATGCTCAAAACTCTTGAATTCTCGAAGAGGATGCCGAAAGGCTGGCCATCTTGAGGGAAGTAGAAAATTCTTTCCCCAGAAGAGTCTCCAATTCAGGTTTCGCCAATTGAGCGAAGGGAGCGATACTTTGGGGGGGGGGAGGGGGAGCGGATGCCGTATCCGCAGGAAGGTGGTGGTCGGGTGAACTAGGGATACCAGATTCTCAGACTGCGGAGGAATACGAAGAAGTTCGTCGCGGTCTATCTTGTTCACGGGGGCGGCCGGAAAAACAACCCGATACGTCCACGGAGGTACGATTGTTCCTAATTGCAGTTGGTGTTCCAAAATCCCCCCTGGCTGTCATCTCCACTTGCTCAGTGCCCGACCTAGTGCAACAGTTGCACTTCGTCACACGCCCTGTACCCCTCTGCAACGACTTCCTGAAGTTACGAGGCTTCAAGGTAGGCTCTTCCTGCGAGACAACAACGAAGAAAACTGGCCACAGTAACAGCAAAATATCTAGTGCAAAAGGGGGGCGCGGGCAAAAGCGGCAGCGAAAACAAAAACGGGTGTTCGGGTGACACGGTTACTATAGTCACGATGCGTTCGGATGATAATACTCCGTAATCTTCTTCTAAGCAATAACCGAGAGCTTGTGCCCTAACGGAATCAAAGTGTCTCTATGCCTCGGCCATGGTTGACGTATTCAATTTCTGACTGGGGCTCGCGATAACATACTAACATGGACATTTTTTGGCAGTGCGGTAGTCGCGGCGCAGCAGGGTCTAACCCTAGGCACATGTTTATATGCACACTTCGTCTGGGGGGATTATTTAGTACACTCACCCCAAAACCCTCCGATGTCGCCCAAGAGTTCGCCAATCGTAACGGGGGCATCCTCGGTAATTGTTTCCAGCGAGTTTGGACCCTGCTTGATCCTGAGGTCTATAAACGCATAGGGCCGTGTGATACTTGAGATATTCTCGCCCACCTGATGCGACAGCGGAGACATGCACGGAAACATGGTTGGTTAGGGAATGGGAGGTAGACAGCGTGTCCATCTGACAACAAATAATCAAAACACTTGGGTGGCACAACAATCATACGAATACCTACAAGTTGGAACTCCCTCACATTGCCATTAGAAACGCCGAAAACATCGACCCTGAACGGGCAAGCGTAACAGATCTTGACTACCCTATCAAACATTACTGGAAGCGCACATACGAACAAGCGACGCCCGCTGAACTATAGTTGAAAGAACGCTTCTTCACATTGCGATTGAAATGTCCGAAACATAAAACCCAACTACACTTCTGGAAGTGCACATGCCCACAAGCGACGCTCGCTGAAGCGGCATCTTCGCTCGTTCGTTGCTAGGCAAAACCAATCTCATGAAGAAACCATGGTACATGTTTCTTTGGGTCGTAGACCAGGATAAGCCGAGAGTTATGGTCAATTGGCGATAGTTCATCCATGTAGGCAAGCCGTTCTTCCCAAACCTCCACATACAGCATATACAGTTTTGATTAGCTGCAAAGGCAGGCGAGTTGGTATGTTGGTTCTCTTTTGGACCACTTCAACCATCCGAGACCTTGCTAAAACTCTCGTGGTTTGAGCGTGAGGCACGCATCTGTATTTTAGAGGGCGACTTTCTAGTTTTGGTGGGAGCCGATAGCCAGAACCTGTTTAGTTCATTGTTGAAGGTATCCTGCTTTTATTATTTATACACTAAAGTTTGTTTTTAATTTTTTCTCGAGTTCAACCCGGATCGAAACACAGCAAGGCTTGAACGAGAGCCCTACATTTGTGCAACCGAACCAAGTGTTTCACGGCAAGCAATGATAGGCAAAAGGAGTGTACGAGCTGCTGCTGAAAGCGGGGTAGCAGAAAGCCGGGGTTGTAGACATGATTTTCGAAGAGCATTTGCCTACCACCCGGAGCAGACGCTTTCCAACGCGGATTTCGGCAAGTTTTAGCTCCAACCATAACCCGACATCAATGCCACACACCCAAGGTTGTTGTATCGGGAACCATGATCACCGATCTGTACGAACTGCTGCCCGAAATCGGGGCCAAGCTTGTTATAGAATTGTTATTGATGTAAGGGAGCCTACATAATATAAACCCAGGTTGTCCAAATATTAAACGCCAGCAACCCAAGGTTCGTTCTATCGGGAACCGCGAAATGTACGACCTGCTGCCAAAATATGTGGCCAAGCTTGTCGTATAATTGTGTTTGACCTTAGGCCGTTCCTAATATATTCAGATTCTCAAACCAAAAAAGAGCAAAATCCACCTCGGGTGGAATCTGACTCGGGAAAAAATCTGGCCTTCCCTACAGCGAGGGCACTTTAGTCGATACAATCACAGAGTTCGACCTCAGTTCTGAACGTATCGCTACCGCCAAGGGCTCCGAGCAATCCTTGGCTGACGGTGCCGCTGTTGTGCCCACTAGCTGGTGATGTTTGATTGCGAGGCGAACGTGAAAAACACATTTCGCACCACACGCATCACACAGAAGAAGTCAAACCGCCTCTGTCAAGCAAAAAAGGCAGCCCTCGGATAGAGACAAGATGCCACCGCATGCGAGTTCTCCCTCGTTAGAGCATGGATTGACGTAGGCAAGATGTCACCTATATTCCTTATCTTTCCTCCGGGCAGCGTCGCTTAGCAGTTTGTTCACTCAATCGACAGAGAAAAGCATGTGCGTGTACACAAGCTGTCCGTTGAAATTGGTTCTGACACGGTCAACACATCTCTATTTTCAAGTCACATACACAAGCAAGCGGGGAAAATATTTTCGAAGACCAACATGACCACCCGCGACGCTTCTCTCTGTCGATTGAGTGAACAAACTGCTAAGCGACGCGGCCCCGAGGAAAGATAGGAAATATAGGTGACATCCTGCTGACGTCGATCCGTGCCCTAACAACGGAGAACTCGTATGCGGTGTCCTCCTGTCTCCATCAGTGGGCTGCCTTTTTTGCTTCACAGAGGCGGTTTGACTTCTTGTGCGTGATGCGTGTGGTGCGAAATGTTTTTTTCACGCTCGCTTCGCAATCAAACATCACCAGCTAGTGGGCACAACAACAGCAGCACCGTCGGCCAAGGATTGCTTACAGCCCTTGGTGGTAGCGATACGTTCAGACCTCAGGTCGAACTTGGCGATAGTCGATGTGTGCTTGCGTGTTCGCGTGTGCGTGTGCGGTGCCACTAATTTAAAAAAAATTAAACAGGAATCCGTGTTGAGGTCGTGTCAGATTCTGCCTGAAGAATCTGACTAGATCCAACAAACAAAGGATGTAACCCGATTCCTCCAAACTGGATTCTGGAAGAATCCGACTCAATAAGAACTGGTCTATGGGATAAATACTTAAACTATTGCCGTCAACTTAAACCCAGGATGTCCTCGTCTCAATACAGATGTACCCGGTTCCCTCCTTCCCCTCGTTGCCTCGGCAAGGCCTTTGCTAGACATGGCCCACATCGAGGGGGGGGGGTCTTCCTAGCGAGCAAGGCTAGACTTACCCTCAAGGGACTGATACCTTCTTGCTGCTACGCACCCGCCGCGAGGCGTGCGTAGTGATGGAGCTGGGTCGACACTGGTGGGTCAGGTGCAAAAATGCAGATGCGCGGGCCTTTATGGCCGTCCGTGTAAGCAGCAATGCCCATCTTATTTTTGTACGCGGAGGTAGACTCCATCAGAAAGGTGAACGGGCACTACGCACATGGCCCTACCTAGGTGTGCTCGAGGGAGCTATCTCAGTGCCCTGGCTTCGCCATCAAATGAGGAGGGAGCAGGTGGTGACGAGCTGAGGAATGGGCTGGTTGACCCCTTCCGCGCGAGAATTTTTCAGACCAAGTACCCTAAGTGCAACGAGGGAGAACGCGAGGAACCAACTGGGAAGGACTGCAACCGAGAGCGTGTGCGCACGGAGCGGGTCGATTGTGGTCGTGCTACCACTTATCACAACGGTACCGGAGCAGCGGCACTGGAGCATGCGAACAAACACATTGTGTCATTTAGTTTCATTTTTTCATTTTTTTCCTGAATATCGGTGTTGGGTATGTGTGATGACATCACTGGTTTTGTAGAGAGACGCGGCAGAGATGGCGCGAATACCTCGGATGCTGTAATTGTGTACCTGCATCGTGAAAGACCCGTTCAACGTGGACCGATTCCTACTCAGTGTCGATGGTTGCACTGCTGTGCCTAAGCAACACAGACGATCGGGATAGATTCGGGGGATCGTCAAATGCAATGATGGCTTTCGGTTGGTTGTTCTTTTTCACTGGGTGTTCCGCGGACGCATTCTGACGGCACTGCAGCCGGCAGCGTGTCCCAGTGTCTTGTTCCATGCCTATCATGGTGTTTAGTACAGACAGCTCTCCGGACAGCAGTACGCTGCTGTAGTCGCAAACTTCACCTTGGTAAATGTATTGGGATAGGGGGTGGGATGATGCTGTTGTAGTCCAATGTGATGTGCGGACGTGTTGTTCAGTTTTGCGCAACCAAGCGTGTACCTCTTCGGGCTTGAGTACCCTTTTCTTGCTAAGTGTGCGTGTTCTTCAGATCTTCTGATGGCTCTAGCATTTTTGTGACCACGCGCCGAAAGTCTTCTTGCTAGACTTTTGAAGTTGGCAACTGACATACGGTTTAATGTTAAGACAACAACAACAACAACAACAACAACAACAACAACAACAACAACAACCCGGTCAAACGATTCGTAATATGATAATGATACATGTGTGTGTCATATGAATTCAATTACAGAGAGATTTGGAATCCTGCCGAACGCAAAATAAAATGCTATGTATGGAAACCTTATACGACACATATATGTGTCTGCTCAATACTACTGATGCAGGTACTAACAGCGCCGCGGGTGGACGGGCCTCACCTGATCACTGACGTACGGGTAGGAATATATGGTATCAGCCCTGTATGAACGTTCCGTCGTCCCGTCGAGTTTCTTCGTCTCGGTAAGTGCGAGCGCCTACACGATAGGCAGACACCGATGGACATGCAACAACAGTATGGGCAAACGAAAACGTCCAGCGGAAAAATATCGGTGCGTTACGTTAGTGATATTTTCAACACTCTGGATGTTCTTCGCGCTCGAAAACAACCGCAAGTTCCACCAGCGTGACCCATCGATGTCGGATATTTCCTAACGGTTCTACACCATCCTCGGGCTTTGGCTCCGGCACAACACACGATTTTCTCGAGCGTCACGCAGTGCGCCACACAAAACGCCAACGGCTGTTTACAAAGTGATTCACAACGTGGTGCAGGAATTACCGCACGCCGGCACTGAGCCAACGTATGTTCAAACAACTTCTGAGAAGATCGTTCAACACGGAACTTTGTCACGTTGGCGCATTTCGTAAACATAACGCTACAGTTCCATGCTGGCTTACAATGTCGGTGAACATGTGGGTGTCGGATGTGTTCGACCTGCAAGAGTAGGCAACTTGAAATCCGCTGGCGATTGTGTCCGTGACTTGGTCGAACAGGTGGATGACGACGGACGTACTGACAGACACAGACAACGAAGGACGGAAGTCATAACCGCGTTTGCACAGGGCAATCGACGCTATAGACGCACTGCGAACGGACCATAAGAGACGAGGCATCAGCCAACAGACGATGTTCTACAGCAACGGCAATGGTGCACGCAACTAGCCGTTTAGAAACTCGGTAACAACGCACCGTAGGCGGTTCCCGTGTTCGCAAGAGCGTTCGAATGCCCGTAGTCGGTCACCACGAAACAGAATTGCGAACTTATACAACAAAATCAAAGGCTGCAATACCATTCGGTGTCGACAGTTTCTAAAGTTTCCGCATTTCCTGAGCTAAACAAGCAGACCCCAAGCAATATATCCGGGTCACAAAAAGCTTAAAGGTTTCTACGAAACCATACCTGTGAGGTTTCCGACTGACCAAATCCGTTGTGCACGTGTGAGAATCGTTTTCCTTGCTGCCGCTTGGGTACCAGGCCATCTGTTCAAAAAGCGAAAGAAGGCGCGGCGATCGGGTTGCATTCTTCAGGTAGTGGACCAGTAAGGAGTGCGCATACCTCTCATTTTGTCGGCTTACTCTACAGCAGTCCTTTCATCCTGCTCTAGTTATGAAAAATAATGGTTCCCTCTCGTACCGCCTGGTCTGTGTGATTGGACTGCGGCACCGCCGTGAATCCTAAGCCCTACATATTATATCTTCAAAGACTCACTCTCAGGTTAGTATAGTCCAGGTAGTTTTCTTCAGCGCGCTCTTCGCCCAACTTGTGCTCAATCGCCGACATGTTGAACAAGACGCAATACTTTTTCTGAAATCGGGTGGCGAGTTCAATCACGGGCGCCGGGGCTCAGAATCAGCAGCTTACACCGGTTATTACGGTGGGTTTCAAACAACATTGATTTTGAAACTAGATATGGTCAGCTGATCACAAACACAGGAGAGAGACGTATCACTTAAAAGGAGAGCACGTAGGGATTCTGGAGAGAGAAAATCAGGGAATATTGGAGCCTTCCAGGGTCAACCGTCGTCATTTTTCGGTTCGAGCTCAACGCAGATCAACACCATCCAGAGCGCCAAACAAAGGCTTCGTCGGCCTGGCCGGATGAAGGCTGTTTGATCGCCAAGATAGTCCAGATAGAGCAAGCTTCGCAGAGAAAGAGGGCCACACGCAAGCAAACTGGGCCCCATCATAGTCTTCTTCCTACTGTTGACCCCCACCCGACCGCTCTGCCTTTATGACGGACGGGCCTGCACTAGACTCTCGTAGTCGTTGTTGGCCGTGGACATGAAGACGAATTAATGGTTCGATTCCTTCTTGATTGTTTCCCGTCGAGCATAGTCTATCAGGTCTGCGCAAACGTTTCTTTTTTTTTGTCAGTACAAAAACTCTAGCGAAAGGAGAAAGAACCCGGGGAACACCGCTCACCTCAGGACCTGTGAATCTCGGGTCGACGTCAATACTTTGCCTTTTTTCCGTTTCTTCGGTTATGTCTGGTATCCAGACTCCGTCGGTGGGAGACAATTCCTGACCCCTATACTCTGCCGTCGACAGCCCGAACTCCGTCGAGTTGGATGAATTGACGCACCCTTCTGCGATATGATCATCAAGACTATCGCAGCCGTTATCTTGATACAGGCATACCCCGAAGTCCGGATACCAGTACACCTCGTTCTACAAATGGACGAAGAAGGTGAAGGATCACCCACAAATGCAGCAAACACCGTGCGGGCTACCTGATTTTAGTGCGTCGATAACAAGCAGATTTCTAGTAGGGAACGAGGGTGTTTTTCTTGCGTGTTGCCGGTCAGCATTATAGCAGTCTGCTTCGGGCGTAGAGACGGCAAGAAATGTAAGTGCCCTCAAAGACGCGAGGCCATCAGGAAAATACAAAACTTCAGTCTTTAGGGGAAAGTCGCAGCTGCTTGGGACAAAGCAGCAGCGGCCCGGCAAGCTTAACACATTATCTGTGGCCTCAGTATGCCTCCCCCTTTCAAAATCTGAAACAAATGACGAAATTAAAACTGATTAGAGCCGCGCCAAACCATGTTGTGAGTCACCGAGGTTGACGCCGTGGGTGGTGAGTCCTATTTAGATTTGCTAGACGGAAATAGCTGACGACGAGACAACACTTTGCCCTCGCTCGTCAGCATCTGTGTTTTTGTTGGCCTTTCCTCAGCAAACTATACAACGAGTTCGCCAATCACAATGAAGGGCCTCACGACCAATCAGCGAAAAAGTCGAAGACACTTACCAGCAACGAGTCCAAATTCCCCATACTACCGACCCACCGAGCTCCGCTGGTACGAATTAGTGACTTGGTGCTTCCGTCAGGTGCGATGGCTCTGGCTTTCCGATATCCCTACCACTACCTGAGGCAACGGCTACGTACCCCGCGCGCCTGAGCTTCACAGTTTGCCAGTGGTAGTGTGCGCCAGAGCGGGCAGGCCTTTCATTGACGATCGTTTTCCATACCGCACTCGAAAATAAAACAAAAAATGAATTTTACAAATTGGGATGAGGTTTCATGCCTATCTGAAATTATTTCACAAAGGACAACTGCGATAATTGTCAGTTGCCTGGCAGACAACAATTGATTCGAGGGGTTGCGCAATTAATTGTTTCTGGACAACTATTTCTCCAAGGAGGTGCGCAATCAATTTTTCCTGGACAACTATTCCTCGGAGGGATAGCGCAACTAAATGTTTCTTCACAACTATTCCTCTAACGAGGTGCGCAATCAATTGCTTCTGGATAAGTAATTTCAGGAAAGCCTGCGCAACTACGTTGCCAACGCAGTTAATTGGTTTGGGGCAAATGTACGCAACCAATAGCTACAAATTGTCAGCGATATCCAGGGTGTTAATTATTTGTAGGGGGAAACACCGAGTAAAAACAATTGAGACGACCATAACCCCATAAATTAAAAAGGTTAATGATGAGCAAAACCTCAGATACAAAGAGTTAGCTTGCGAGAGGTGAAGAAAAAATCATGCTGACTTTCTCCGCACGTCACATGTTGTGTGATATATGTTTCTTCGAAGGACGTCAGCTAAAAGAGCGATCCCCCGGTTTTCTCGGATCGGAGTATCTTTTTAGAAACGAAGGGGGGTCCAGTAAGTTGCCCTCAAGAGCGAAGCACAAACCTTTTGCATCAAGCTCCGGATCTGGGCCGTGTTGGAGTGCACTTAAACAAAAATCGAACAACTCTGAGTCCCCATGCTGCAAAATTCCTTGGCAAGGTGTTGAAAACCTCGTATAAGAACAATGCTTGCCGCACAAGTTGAAATAGTCTTCTCCCTTCGAAAGCTCCGCGTAAAACGAGTCTTGGTGTCTGTAAACTGACGAGTATTGAAATACGGCAGGACTACTTGTGATATATTCCGGAGTATATAAATGGAGCGCAAAAACAAAAACGAATAAACACACACATACACACATACACCGAACTCGGTGTCACTGAGGAACCTAGTTTGTTCACGAGGCTCGGACGGTATTCTGAAAAATGGAAGCAAAATTTTAGCATGGAACCGCAGACAACAAGCGTGCGGTGCCGTCGAAAATGTTTTCAAAAAATGTTGTGGAAAAAACGCGCCAAAATGCTGCCGTCGATGGCGGCAACCTTTTTTGTGGGGTTCCTTTTTGCTGTATTGCTCTGTTGTTTCTCTCACCACCTTCCTGGGTGCTCTACAGCTATGTTGCAGCAGCAAAAAGCAGTGCCAGTTTTTTTTCCTTCGAAATGTCAGCCCCCAGACGTGTCATCAGGGGCGCACTTGTTTGGTGTATTTTTGAATGCGCAATTTTTCTTTGGGTTCGTTCCCAGTTTCAATAAGACCCACTATTCTCGAACAGCACGAAATTCACGAATCCCTAAATTTTCCTTTCGCGGATCCGAGAAAGAAATCCGCCGCTTTCTACCGAGAGAGCGCGGGCTTTTTCAAAAACTACACTCTTTCTGCTTTGGTACGGCTGTTTTTGTCCACGTGGACGAGTAGCAGTACATCATATGGGAACTCTATCCGCCATGACTGATACAACCATTAGACTATTGGTTCTGCCACGCCCGGGAGAATGAAGAGGCACATTCAGCCGCCCGCGAAACTGCCTCACATGGGAGAAAGTGGTGCAGCAGCACGGTTTGGTGTTGCACAGGCAGCACACACGATGACTCAGCAGCCAGTCAGCTTGTCCGACTGCAGCAGGGCGACGCTGATTGCAGGGCAACATGCGCCACTCTCACGTGTCAGCAGCGAGGAAAATGGGTTTGGTGACCTGGGGCAGACCACAGCAAGAGCAGCCCCCTTGATCAGGCCCTCCCAGAGGAGCGACTAACTGCGTCTTTTGCCACTCTCTTATGTACTTCTGTGCGCTGTAGCGGCGGCCGGGCACTGTGGGATGCTTGTGCGGTGTATTGTCGGGCGTGCCCGATGCAGCGTCTGTTTTTTTTCACGGATCCGCGAAATCGAAGCGTTGCGGAAAATCGGGGTTGACTTCGCTTTCACGGATCCGAAAAAAAAAAAAAAAACACACACACACACACGAATTCGTGAAATGTGTCCTCGGACCCGCAAAAAAAAATCAAAAATAACGGCCCTACCCCCTTATTCGGATTGGTATTTCCTTTGTGACCTACCAACAGCCATATTTCATACTTTCAGGCATATTTTGGGGTATCGGGTCTTCTTCAACGGGCGTCAAAAATGTATGCCAGTTCTGATATGTTTGATATTTTGAGGCTCAAGTTCCTAACTGCCTTTTTGTTAAGCGGGAGCCCCAGCATCTGTCTAGGACATGTTCACATTGCCCCGTCCTCTTTGTGCCCTCTTACTTGCTAGCGGTCCTGTAAGATTAGCAGTAGTGCATACGCGTCGATTGATACTCCCGGCTCGGACCTTCCAAGTGTATCGAACCAAGCGATTGGCTACGACTTGGTAGTAGACCGAAAATAATGCGCGGTAAAGGGTGCTCCTCCCTGTTTTGCCGTACCTTCAGGAACTGCGCTCTACTCTCGCTACGCCGAGTATCTCGATGCGTTTCCTGAGCAAATTTGTTGATCTACTGCCAGGGCGACGGACGGAATATGGACTCACCGACAAAGAGAAGGACGTCGAGGGGTTGAGATACTGGTGATGCAGCCTGCTGAGTGCCCAGCCGATATCTGAGGAACGTACGGAATTGATTAACTAGGTTTTAGTTTTCGGTCCCTTTATCCCAAATGGCGGAGCGGCCATTCGGGTTTAGACGATGACATATCTATATTTTTGCGCACATACAGGCAGGGTACGTCTACCCACTTCAGCAATATCCAACGAGTTAAACTGATACACAATATTGTAAGTATAGTTTATACAAGATTCCCCTTCGGAGGTGGCTTCACTGTCTGTCTTGAACACAGGGGGCGATGCAAGGGGAAGGCAAACAGTACTCAGGATAAAAGATTCAAGCGGTGTAAACTGAAGACAGAGTAGAGTAGTGCAAAGAATAAGGGTGGAAAAGTACGCGCAAAGTGTTCTGTTGAAGAGGATGAGGCGTTGGTGGGAAAGGGGTGCCTGCGATATGACAACCTCTGTGGTGAGTCCGTACAATTGTGAGGCAGCAGCAATTTCAATGTAACCACCGTATGCGGAGGGTTGAGCTATGATGGACAGGTAGTCCTGAAGAGAATAAATAGTACAATGATGGCGGAGATCCTTGGATCCCAATTGGGTCGTTTCCGAATCCGTTTGATATGTCTGTATAAAAGGTTCCTGGGTTGTGCTGCACGTGTTGGACAATGCCATGACGAA